AAATATGTTTGTATATGACCATTTTGATTTGAGCGCTGATTATATCCAAGTAAACAGCAATTTAGCTTAGCCTTTACATTTTCACGTGTGTGTGAATGTGAGTGTGTGAGTGAGTGTGAGTGTGTGTGTGTGTGAGAGTGTGTGAGAATGTGAGTGAGTGACTGAGTGTGAGTGTGTGAGTGTGTGAATTAGTGTGAGTGTGTGAGTGAGTGTGTGAGTGAGTGTGTGAATGTGAGTGTGTGTGTGACTGAGTGTGTGTGAGTGTGAGTGTGAATGTGAGTGTGTGAGTGAGTGTGAGTGTGTGAGTGTTAAATGCAGATAGTAGATGTGTCTCATTCAGAAGGCTGTGTCCTCCGGAGGTCGCATTCGAAGGCTGCATACGTCATCGAGACTGTCTCATTTCAGAAAAGCAAGTAGGACACTTCGAATGCGAGCTTCTTTCACAGGAATTCGGAGGATGGATGAGGTGTATCCTTCGCTGCTACAGATAGCCCACAATTCTTTGCGTCGCTGTGAACAACCGTTGAATGTGAGTGTGTGAGTGTGTGTGAGAGTGTGAGTGTGAGTGTGTGAGTGAGTGTGAGTGTGTGAGTGAGTGTGTGTGTGAGTGTGTGAGTGTACTTCAATGTGACTCTTGAATAAAAGCTTTATAATCAATAACACACTCACTGTTTGTTTTAATACAGTAATTGACTGATTCAGTGTATTTGATAGTTAAAGCTGATATTACACAGTCCAAGCTAAAAAAGCACATCTTGTTAAAAAAGAGAAAAGTTGGGAGGTTGTATCAAAGCATAGCTCAGTACATATAAGACACATAAATGTAGTTTCATTTTGCAGTTTTGTCCCACGTCTCAAGAATGACTGAAATCTGTAAAGAACGCAAAAGTCAGAATTACCCTGTTTTGTATCCCACATGAGCCACTGATTTATCAGAATAACACAGACCCGAGCTGGTAATGCACGCATGTGTAGATAATACTCCACTTCTTGCACCTAGACTCGTGACCACATGAGGGCGAGGAAACACATTTTCGCATGTAAAACCCGTGCTTGTTAATCGAGAGGGTGTCTCCAGTAAAGCCACAGTAGAACGCAGTGATAACAGCCAGCTCATCTCATACGAGGACCACCACACAAACACCTCACTCAGCTCCGTGTGTGTTTACATGCAATACAGCCAAACGAGCCAATCAAGAGACAGACGCACACTCTCAGGCAAAGCAGGCTTTATTGAAGACGGTATCGAGTCCTTCTGGAGGACAGCTGTACACCGCAGACTCTCTGGGGTCTGTCCTCATCTATTTGGACGCCTCCTTCCTGGCGATGGTCTTCATCCCCTTCTTGTTGTGCTTCTTGGCAAAGCGCATGTTCCTCAGGAACTTAGGGTCCACCTGAAACACAACGCATGCATGAGAAAACACACTCACGACACCACTGCACTAAACACGACAGGGCTTTGAG